AAAGAAATGTTCTTAAATTATTCATAAATGTGAATTTCTCTTAAACTGGAGTAGAGCTTTTGATGCTGGGAAGATCATACAGTGGGCATTTAAATAAGATGTGATAAGGAAATTGAGGTTGTTATTTGCGGTAAAAGCTAGGTGCAAGTTGTTATAAGTTTTAAATAAAATAACTTTGCGAATAAAATCCAGTTACGTACTCTTGCCTGGGCCTGTGGTGACTACAGTTGCCGTCTGTGCTGAAGGTTGTGCGGTTGTGGTCACTGTATTCGAGATGGCCTGTTTGATGTCGACCATGCTAACACTGAGTCCAGTGCCAGAAGCCGCATTCCCGCCTGCATTCATTGCGCCGGCCTGGGCTGTCATTGGGGCGGCAGCGACGGCAGTGAATTGGCTGGCGTCTATCAGCTGGCCGGTCAGTTGTGTGCCTGAGCCCGGGGCGCCACCGCCGGCGGCGGCCGCAGCAGCCGCAGCGGCATGGATCACGGTGGTGGCGCCACCAGCCGTCAAAGCATTCGCAGATACGGTGTTGGCCAACTGGTACTGTCCGTTACCCATGGGTAGCATGACCTGGCCCGTTGCCGTGATCATCGGCTGCATCAGCACGCTGCCGGCAGTAGCGCCACCGGGGCCGCCTCCCCCGCCAGAAGCGCCCCCTCCTGCGCCGGCGCTGGTCATGAGGCTAGCGGTTGGTGCCGCCGTAGCTACTAACTGACCACCTAGGTTGGTCACAGGCTGCATCTGCACCATCATCTGCTGGGGCCCGTTTGGACCCTGTACCATCATCTGACCAAGTGTAAGAGCAGTTGTCTGTGTGGCTATAAAGGTGCCAACAAGGGACCCAAGAGAACGGTGACAAGAAAGAGTATAACGATAAGCATAGAGTGAGTAGTGATAGAGAGTAGCAATTTAGTCATTTATATGCGTAAACATCTAGTTGAATAGTAGCTACATTTAATGAATAAACACGATTTTGGCGCTACGACAACGCAAATCAATGCCGATAAAAACTCCAAGTTGTGGTCTGCAATTTAACCGCATAAACCTGATAGCGACACAATATGATTAGGATTAAAATGGCCCGAAGGAAGCAACCAGACTGAAATGTAGAAAGATGGATGATTAGATAATAAGACAGGTCGCGCTCAATAGACTTCAAAGATATCAGTTTCCTTATATGAATAAAACTTGCATTGCATATTTTAAGGGTGGTGCCGTGTGCTGAATAACGCTGCGATCCCGTAATAAAGATTTCAAGCATGCCGATGCTGACTAATGAAGCGAGCGGCTATTACAAAAAATCGACGATTGAGCGCAAACAAAGATTGAGTCGTCCTGGTTAAATGTCATGATGTTTTGCTTGATCTTCAGGGAGCCGAGCGGGCCTTTGTAATTCTTCAGACTGAAACAGTCAGATCGTCATAAGCAAGATATGATGGATAAGAGTAACCGGTTTACAATGGTTGTCTCGAGTTCCATCCTAGTAAATTTAAACAACAGTCGACCGAGGCGAGTATGCAGCGCGAGTACGCGAATTTCCACACCACAGGAA